TGTCTCACATTTACCGAGTCCTCACTAGCGTCGAGGAGTCTGTCAATTAGACTCTGTAAAAACTCGACATCGTGCTCGTAGCGCACTTGGGGTGATGGGTCACTGGACTCCGGCGTGTGGAAGATCACGAGGTTATAACTCCTCTGGTCGGGCGAGGTTGAACTTGCAGGGAGAAGTATACTACCAGCCTCACGTGGTTCGGCTAACTGTTTACTTACAAAAGTTGAACGCCCAACATCACTTCGTAAATTCGTTTTTTATTCTTTCTACTGGTCTTCAGCACTCAGACTTTCACCTGCTGGGACATCAGTGCCCGTTGGACACAACATAGGTGAAACTGGGTTTCTCACAACGTTCGACTTCTTGCCGATGTGTTTACACGGGTAGAGGAGGAAGACTGAGCTGAAACCTGAAGACTCTTCGGACTAGGTTGTTGGGCCAAACGTACCGAGCTGTTCTCAATGGAATGATGAAGCCCACACGTCGGCTTTACTCTTCCTGGCTGTATCTTGTTTCGACAAGTTTGAACGAAATTGTGTTGGATTTCACAAAGACGATGAAAATGTTAAACTGATAATCCAACACATGAAATGTGGTATTTAACTTGGCACAAAATACACGTGGAGGCGTTTGCACAGTATCCGACTACCTTGGAACTAGTACCGCAGAGTGACTGCCTCGGCATGGTGAATAATCCGAAAACAAGATGGCGGTCAATTGTTGGAGAAAATAGCGATAGCAAGGTCGCCAAAAGCAAGCGGTGAAAACACAAGTATTTCTGCTCGGAAAATTCAGAATCAGAAATGAAACTGAATTGTCTCTAAATTTTAACGAAGTACTTCCAGTGTACGAAGAGATTCAACACAAAGTGCTCTTGTCAACACAGCTAAAAAATAACCGAACGGAGGCCAGTATCCGCAGTCAGCGCGATCGCACAAACTAGATGAGGAAACGTTCTTCTCTGCTGTTTACCAACGAATTTAGAGCAAAACGAAGTTGAGTCTATCAGAAGGATTGATAAATTGCAATCACTAACAAATGGAGACACGGCCATTCGTGAATCCGCCTCCTGGGCACTTGCTTCCATTCAGGTTTCGCCTCCATGTCTCATCTGGCTGTGCCGGTGTGGCCTAATCGCACTTATGCCAGCACTTCTTTCTCACATCTTTAGGGCTTTTAATATGCACAAGTTAGGGACTACCAAGCAATTTGGCCCATTCTATTATTCGGATCACTTCGAGCATGGCACTTTGATTTTTGATACTAATGAGGATGGGTGTAACTGCGAGTCTGGAAGTGTCGACACATCACCCGAGGAGATCGGCCCAATCGTGGCTAACAGTCAATAAGGAGGAATACAAATATTTAAAGTTAAACACTAAAAGCTGGTTGGTCAGATCATGACAAGATTAGATACTATTCATCAGACGTACACTATTTACACATCCCGCAATTGTTCTCGAGGAGAATTTTGCCAAATCACTACGAATCGCTACGTAGACGTTTCTTGTCACGTCGCAATTCTCCAGGCAGTAATTTGGACGGTGTTACGTACGAAAAATGAAGAAGGTAATGACTAATCATTGGACTGTAACTGAACTATGGTAAGGGCAGTACCGATAAAGTAACATGAATGTAGAAATAACGCCAAGAGTTGATGAAGGGGAATAATTTCTCAAAATCTTGGAACATATTTAGAACAGATGGGGAAGTCATCATTTCAGAGAACTTGGTAGACAACCGGTTAATGTATTTATGGTGATAGACAACGTTCCGCTTTTGACACAAAAGCTAAATCAGGCTCAACTCACCATTTTGCGAACACGAGGTCTGTATCTGTACTCAATATCTTGGACCATATTTGGAACCGATCGGGAAGTCCTCATTTCAGAAAGCTTGGTAGACGACCAGTTAATGTATTTATGGTGATAGACAACGTTTCCCTTTTGACACAAAAGCTTCATCAAGCCTGATGATCACGGAATACATACGGGAACGGACCGGATCTTGAGGACAATGGAAGCCTTTCTCCTGATGATTACCTATTACGTGCTCGGCTGGTTTCCTTTGTTTAACTGTCCGGTCGGTTGCGCGTGACTACTAACCTGTTTGTTTCGGTATCTGGAAAGTGATACAACTATTTTGGGCATGGTTCGGTTGTCACTAGGAAAGCAGCTGGTTATCCAATTCGCGTGCACAATGGAACGTTTCCCCCGATGTACCGCTTCTCCGTTCCGATGCTTCACTGTTCTATGCGTTTGCAGGCGGCAGGGGTGCCGTTTAGAACCCTGACCTCGAGATGGACTACATCACACTGGTTTGTGGCGGAGGTTCTGGCAAAGTCTATTTGCGATGGATCTTCTCAGAAACCCTAATGTTTGTCCGTTAATAAAACGCTTGGTGTGACGGTCGAACTAACGAGCTGTACCAGACGTTATCTGTGCTGTAAATGAAACCTGTCTTCTGTGGAGTTCATGCACATCAACCTTGCTGAGCCGAATAAGTCTGTGTGTCCTCGCCATTTAACTGACCGGCGATATATATATATATATATATATATATATATATATATATATATTCCACACTATCCCATTTACGAAATAATTGGCTGAGTGCCACAACGTACAAGAGGAAAAGATAGGGTGAAAAGGAAAGCGACTGTTAGGGTAGAAGAGTCTCACAGCAGGTGCGCCATTGCGTACGGTCCTTGGCCTTATCCTCTAGCGTTTGCAACCAGGTGTGCTCGGGGTCCTTTGGTCCCCAACCCGGGAGTCGGGAACGCCCAACAACAGCCACCTTCAACGTTTGCGACTTAACACACTGGATCCGACCTGTACATTGCCCTCCTTTTCATCGCTTCCATCCCACGCGTCCGCCCGCAAATGGGGCACGTCGTGGTAGCCGCTGAGTAGGTATGCGAAACACATGGCCAAGCCGCAGTGGAATGATGCTATTAATCGATCGGCGGAGTTCGTTAGATCTGAAGACTCGCCGACGCACTTCCTCATTACTGATGTGGTGCTGCCATCGAACACTAGCAATGCTTCGCAGGCAGCGGTGATCGAAGGCAAATGGCAGCTGAACATCGCTTTTGCGAACGGGCCAAATCTCACAGCCGTACAGTAGAATCGCTCGTACCGTAGTATTATAGACGTCCTTTCAGAGCGAGGCTGAGATCACGACGAAGCCACAGGTGACGAAAGTTAGCGTAAGCGACTTTAGCCTTTGAGACACGCAGAGAGATCTCATCTGTCAAACCGCCAATACTAAGTCAACTCCCAAGATAAATGAATTTCTCGGTCACTTCCAACGGATGCCCCGAAAGGGTGAGAGGACATGCACTTGAAGGGGCAAAGGTCAACCCAAATTGGGAGGCGGACGTCTCCAGTCTGAACAGCACTTGCTGGGTGGCTTGGGAGAACTCGCAAATCACAGCGATGTCATCGGCGTACTCTAAATTCAGATAGCGGTCACCAGGGCGCAGTTTAGCACCGCAGGACTCCGAGTTATCCAGGGCAATATCCAGGATCTCGTGCATGCCGAAGTTGAACAAGTATGGAGAGGCTGGGCAACCCTGTCTAACACCGCTAGTGATACTGAGAGAGGGGCGAAATTTCTCCGTATGCTCGCACGCGGCCTGAAATTTTATGGTAAATAGCACAGAGAATGCCGATGTACTTCTCAGGTACTCCCCTCTTCAGTAAGCAGTCCCAAAGATGTACTCTGTCAACAGAGTCAAAAACGACTTGAATGTCCAATAATATGACTATAGTTGGTTGACTGAACGTATGGCGATGTTCAAGTATCTGGCGGATCGTAAAGATGTGATGGACGCAACCGCAACCCGGGCGAAATCCAGCTTGTTGTTCACGCAGGTGCTGTTCCCGTACGCACCTGAGCCTCCGCAAGAGAACACTGTTTACTTTTCTGTCTAGACTTGGGCATCTAAGTCACATCCTAATCCTCCACATTTACTTATTTATCATTATACGACAGCAGGATACAAATACAAACTAATGGTTTCCCGCTGCTTACAATCTCGCTGGTCACATCCCCTTCTCCGGCGGCAACCTGGAGTCTAGTCTTAACCTCACTTAGAACCTTGTGAGGTCGATAATGCGTAGAAATTGCCTTTTTCGGATCAGGTAGTGCAATTTTACCGCCATTTGACTGCCGGTGACTGCTTTGTGCTTTTGCTGCTTCCTTTGACCTTGCCACGTGCGCCGAAATGTCTGGTCCGAATTTTGAGAAAATCGGTTCCACCGCATTTGAGCTAAATGAAGTCATCATCACTTTGCCGAGGGTGAGAAACACACTTCAGCTAGTTTGTCGCAATACGACAATGCTAAAAGATGAAGCATTGTAGTCTACAAAAACTAAAAAGGTAACGTAATGATAAAACCACATTCTGAATTTGGTTGAGATCGTTGTTGGAGGGAGAAGGTAAAGGTGAAGAGGCGGACAAAGAGACTCACAACACAAACGCCATTGCGGTCTGTTCCTCGCCATGTCAGCTAGTGTATCCAACTAAACCTGTTCCTCGTCCGTGGGACCGCAGCCCGGCAGTCGGGAGACACCAACCGACGCCAACTTCGAAGTGAGGGAATTCATTCTTTCTGACCAACTCATCGCTTGGTTTCCCCTGCTTCGCTCCAATCCAGATCCCGGGCGCGCAAACAATGCACGATCCGGGAGTCGGTGTGCTGGCATGCGCAACACGGCCCGGTCATCGGAGTCTGGCGCGTGATCTAATGGTGGTGAACGCTTCACTCGCTCTTCATGCCCTAAACACGCGACGCCAACAAATGAAGTGGAATGCGTTTCGGTGCTTGGTCCTCTGTTCTTTTTAAGTGGTACTTTACATAGTGCAGATCACCGCCAAACTTATCCCCTTAGTTTTCTCGCCTATTTCCCATTCTTTCAACACGCATTTTCTCCTCTCCCGAAGTTTTTTACCCTGAGAAATATTCCTCCATCGTCTATTTTTATCACAACACCAGATGCGCTCCATGTGTTCCAAACCCGACGGACCACCCTGTTTGTTGGTCGTGGACGGTGTGAACTTTCTGTGGTGCCGCGGGACCCGTATGAGGGACAAGCTCTTGCACATAAGAGTCCACGTTGATCGCTTAGCGATTGTGCATCACTTGAGGCGCGCAATGAAAGGAGATTGGCGACATGGAGCTATACTAACGTCTCTAAACATTCGAGGTGCCTGGCCCACGGACCGGGAGAAATACACACCTGGGTAACTATGGTTTTGTGGTTTGGTTTAACACTTTTCGACTTTGAAAGTTCTGTTCTTAATCAGTTTTCCTTTTTGCCTTTGCCGATATAACATTATCATGATTTGATTTGGTCGATAGTGCACCCATTGACCCTCAGGCCAAGTGTTGGACTCACCTGATTTGGTCCAATTGATTCGCTGTGCTTTAGGCGCTGAAGTGTTGTGGATCCAGCGACCTTGCCTCACTACCAGGCAATTAGTATTAATAGTAATGGGGGGGGGGTAACAAGTAGTCAAATTGTCACTTGCAATGGTTAGGAATTTAGTGTGCGCGAACGTATGCTCGAGCCTCGCAGACCGTGTATGAAAGGGTACCCGAACACGGAAGTGGCTGGACTCCATTTTTCAGAACGACATTCAGCAACCTTACTTGGTCTATAGACGAACACCGTCAAGCGTCTCGCCAGTCCGTAGGCTGTCCGCATCTGAATTTCACCGCACTCGACGCTTTATTGGGAAATAGTATGCACAGCAGCAGGCATGCAAAGCACCTGACCTAACCAGCGTACGGGATTCGAGTTCAATAGACACTCCAACGAGGCGTGCCCCCTGTTTTGTTGTGGTGGCCTGTGCTTCGGCCGCACTACCTAAGGACTGTGGTTCGAATCTTGATTTGGCGTGCTCTTTGTCGGCCGGTGGCTGAATAGATTGCACACTTGCCCTGTGTTCCGTAGATCACCGTTTCGAATCCGCGTAGATACGGGCGACCTCACGATATACCCACAGCCCGCGTTGAAGCGAAACGTCGGTACGTTGTACCTTTCCAGCGAGGTCCTCGGAGATTTCCTGCCAATCACCATTTCGCTAACGTCAGTGGTAATCGCTTAGATATCCCGCCTAGAAATAGGTGCTCAAACGCAGTCTGTCTCTTAGTGTCGCTGGCACACAGTAGCCAGGTCTTTGAGCCAACTAGTTAACGCTGCATAATCTGCAGTGTTGTGAATTCCTCCATTTTAATAGCACTTTCAATCGCTACTGAATGGTTTACCTCGCTGCAATGCGCGTTCTGACCCCTACGCGCTGAGGACACGAGCATACTGACCGTATTAGACCACGGATGCTTGCAAACTATTGCTCACGTCTGTTGGGAAAACCGAATGAGTGACACAACAGCTTGTCATCTGGTGTTTGTTAACAGGCAGCTTGATGCCTCATTGGAGAGTGGCTTTTGAACTCGAACCACCTCCGCGGTGGCTTGGTCCTGTTCTCCGTTTGCTGGCGGGTCGGCTACCTCGGTCTGTGTTGTTTGCCAGCACTGCGCTTAGGTCAGTGGAACTCAACCAGTGGCCTTACAAGCAGCATTACTTCGCTCGCTGAAACCCTTGGTGGTTTTCACCTTTCTTGATGGGGGTACCTAATCGATAAAGCGCAGTCACATTCATTCCCTTAATTCTGGTTCATAATTCACCCACCTGAGGTTTTCATTATTCTATTTATTATTTATTTATTACCATGGTGGTATTAATCAGGGCACTGAATCCACCACACCTTGCTGCTCTGACCTTTGTTGATAAGCTTGGCAGCATTTTAATAGTTCGTCCCAAATGCTCACAAGCCAGATAGTCAACTATCACTACGGAATCCCCATCATTATTACACATTAGCTGAAGGTGAGAAATACACCTCAGCTAAGGTACCGCAATACAAAAAGATAAGATACTAAAAAATTACATTACAAAATTGATTCCAGGCAAGTAATATGATGTTAAATATTATATGATGTGTTTTGTATGAGATCGGGATTGGAGGGGAAACGTTCTGGGAGTGGGATGGACAAAGAAACTCACAACACAAACGCTAATGGGGCCGGATCTTCGCCATATCAGCAAGTGTGTCCAACCAAACGTGTTCATTGTCCTTAGGACCCCAACCACGCAGTCGGGATGCACTAACCGACGCCAGCTTCGAAGTGAGGGTTTTTACTTCTCTCGACCAAGTCACTGCTTGGCCTCTCCTCCTCTCCCAAGCGCACCCCCGGCGCGCAAATAATGCACGTCACGAGAGTCAGTGGGCTGGCATGCGCAATACGTGGTCCAGTCATCGGAGTCTGGTGCGTGATATAATGGTGCTGAGCGGTTCACCGGCTCTTTCTGCAGCAAATACGCGGCACCAAATACGCTCACTGCTCACATAGTTGTCCCACCAGACATGAGCTACGCTCCGAAGGCAGTGATAGCCGAACGTGACGAACCACTTTATGCCTGTCAACCTGATGGGCCAGGTTTCCTAACCGTATAGGAGGGTTGAACGGACGGCTGCATTATAAACTGTGCTCTTCAAGGCGAGAGTAATGTCGCGTCTGCACCACAGGTGGCGGAGATTGGCAAAAACACCTCGAGCTTTTGCTATACGGTTCGTAATCTCAGCTTCGATTCCACGGGTGCTAATATAGCTGTCCAGGCACTTGAACTCCTGAACGAACTCTGGCTGATCATCACCAAGCGTCAGCACAGGGGTGGGTCCCTGCCAATCTTGGAGGACTTTAAATTTCGATGGAGCAAAGCCAACGCTCAAAACGATTAACAGCCAGTGCTATTCGGTCCAGTGCTGCTTGGCATGTTTGGGAGCTGTCGCAGATTAGGGCCTTATCGTCCGCAAGTCAAAAAGTCGCTCGCCAGGAAGTAGCTCCACACCTTCCAAGTATGTCCAGCGAATGCTATTTCCATGACTTCGTCATTTGCGAAGTTAAATAGGAAAGGTGACAGCGGGCAACCTTGCCTCACACCACTGGTGATACTGAAGGGCGGCGACAGTTTACCATAACCTCTCACTCTTCCCGAAGCATGCGCGTAAAGCGCTTTGATAATGTTCACGTATTTACCAGGCCCACCTTTTCTCAGCAGACAGTCCCAAAGGGCACATCGATCGACTGAATCGAAGGCACCTTTTATGTCAAGAAACACGACGACGGTGGGTCGCCAATAAACATGGCGGTGCTCCAACACTTGACGCAATGTGAAGATGTGGTCGATGAAGCCCCGACCTCGACGAAATCCGGCTTGCTCTTCACGAATCTGGCTTTCACGAGTGCCAATCAGTCTGTGGAGAATGACAGAGGCAAGCAATTTAGAGGCAATCGAAATCAGACTGATCCCTCTATGATTGCCGCATTCTAAACGGGAGTTTCCCTTGAAAATTGGGACAATGACGGAGCGGTTCCAGTCTGTCGGGACTGTCTCCTGCTCCCAAAGTTTTACTAACAACTCGTGTAGATCATCTACTAGAGCAAGTCCTCCGCGCGCAATGAAGTCATATACGCTTTCTCCGCGTTGCTACTGTAATCTCAAGAACTAGTAACGAGCAGAACTACCCATAGGTCCTCGAACAAATGGATCACGATTATGACACCCTTTTTAGCTATTAAGTTCATGGCGTCAAAATGTCGTTGTCCTTCTGAACCAAGTGCTTGGCGAAATAACATTATCCAGTAAGCATCGGACAACATAATAGAAGGGTTCAACACGGGAGAAAGGGTCATCTGATGTTGGTAGGATGTTTTCCACTGCATCTATGAACCATTGGACCACAGAATTGACAGCCTTGCCAGAGGGTTATTATTAAGACCCACTGCCATCCTGATACTTATTGCTCAAATATTCCTATTTCGTAGTTAGACACGTAACCCCGAACTCGGAGTGAGAAGTCACAATCGGATGGCACACGCGGTATTGTATTCTGACACATGGACCGAAAGCGGAAGGCATAAACGGTAAAACGAGCCAATCAGAATATGCATACAAGGGCAGTTAGTATCGACCAATGTGACAATGCTGTTTGATCACTCGCATGGGTGTGTGGTTATTTGAGTAACCTTCACACGTTCGGCAGTGACCGATCCCCAACAGAGAACATTGGGAATGCGCGCCACTTACGAGCCCCAGTAGGGTGAAACGATCGTCTGGAACTTTACCGGGGTGGTGACTTGACTAAGCTGGTTCGTGAGCAGCTGAGACGAATCGGTAATATTTCACCAAAAATCCTCTTACTGACCCGTAAACTTGACTGAGTATCCCATCACGCTCACAAGCTTCATCACGGTTACACCACTGCAAAGTAACAAGGTTTTGGCACACTGTTGACTCCTTGTTAAGCTGTCATTCACGCATCTTGCGGTATACATGAAAGCGTCGTCTGTAACCACTTTTATCGCATCGTCGAATAGTGAACGGGAAGTTTGGCAGTTGAGCTGTTTATCTTCCAAATATGCACCACAAAGCGCTGTACCCTAGCTGATTTATTATCGAGCACCTCCCTTCTTTTGTCCCTCCTATCTTAGCTACCTTCTTGGAGAGCCCGGCTTCACATGCATGGACCCGTTCATTCCGGTGGAAATTGGAAATTACACTGAGGCCGAGTTGAATGCATGCCTGCGATTCTACGCGGAAAACAATTGGCTCACGAATCCAGCCGCACACACGCCTGCCGGGCTGGCAGAAATCGCGTTCCTGGCTGATCGTAACCCATTGGAGCTGGACCGCATCGTTGCGGAATGGTGACTGCGCTTCCAATCGACAGTCCATATGTAAAGTTGTACATATTGATACGGATAAACCATTTACTTCTCACCTGACTTTTCTCCTATTGTTCCATCTTCTCGAGAATTCGGTTTGAGTTTACTTATCCACCGGGTGTGTTCGATTACTGATTATTGGTTGAAAGCAGCAAGCAGAGATGTCTCTGTGTAGCTGCATCTAATATTATTCAGATACAAAGACCCGTTGTGTTGAAGTGCGCTCGATATATTTTATCTCGGCAAAGTCTTTGTCCAGGAATTTCTTGAATTCCGACACCGAGTTTGCTTCAACTACCTGCTGCGGCGGGTTGTGTCATACATTCACCACTCTCCCTTAGAAACAGAGTTAGTGCGACCCGCTTCAAATCAGGTACTACAAGCTTGTGCCTGTGTCCTCGTGTGCTGCTTGGTGCGCGCAGATGCAGCGGCGGCCTCAACATGAGCTATTCACCGAGATGTAATATCCGATGCGTTATGTTGTGGTCAACCCGCAGTCGACGGTAAGCTAGGGTGCAAAGCCCTAGTCTCTTACACCGGTTTTCGAACGGCACACTTCGTAAATTGAGAATCAGCCTGGTGGCCACATGCTGCACTCGATCAATCTTTCCTACCTCGCCCCGTATGATAGGACGGTACGCGGAAGAGCCATACTCTACATTAGTTGTATTATTGAGACGAAGAGGCTAGTGGCAATCTCTTCGGACCAGGAGCTGAAGCTGCTGCTGAACGCCCAAAACATACGAAGGGTGTTTTGGTTAAGCCTATTCGTGTTGTTCATTGATGTTAGGTCGTACCGTGTGAATACACCGAGGTCTTGCATAAAAGGCGCGGGATGCGACGGTTGACCGGTCAGAGTGTAGGTTCGACTGTGCTCACACTTACCCGGCCTCATGAATTGCGACTTGAGCGGGTGGGTCGGAAGGTTGACCTCTGCAGATCAGGTGGAGAGTCGGTCGAGTTCCTGCTGAAGCAGGTCACGGTTATTGGGTGCACGCATTACTCTCCGCACTTTCAAGTCATCTGCAAACAATGCACAAGGTGAACGGAGAAGCTGAGACACGTCGTTTACATAGATCAGGAACAAACTGGGCCCCAGTACACTGCCTTGGGGCACGCCATTGCTCGATAAATACCAGTCGGTCGAGTGGTTGTCGACCTGGACCCCCCACTTTCGACCAACAAAGAAAATTCCTGATCCATCGGTGCAGCTAGCCGCCAACACCGCACACCCTCAGTCTGTCGAGCAGCACTTCATGGTAGGCTTTGTGTTCTAACTGATGTCACATTGTCACTACCGGGAATCCAATCTGCACTGGGCACCCTCTTAATATCATTGGATGCTGCGAGCGCTAATTCTAATCCACATCTCCAAGTTTGTGTTGTTACTTCCTTGTGCTTGTCACTGATCTGCAATAGGACAGGGAGTGGAATGGTTTGCGTGCCTCAAGGATTCATTCAGCCATGCTGGATGGAGCTTTTGTCCCTTCAGAACTACTCACATCAGAACTGGTCAGTGGCTAGGGGCCAGGCAAACTCAGTCTCCTGGCCATCCAGGTTGGGCGTTGGAGTGAAGGAGGCTCCTTGTTCCATAAAATGAACTCTCTGTAGCCCAGTGCCAAAACCCCGCTGCCTTGCGTTCAAGTTTTCGAACCAATGGTTTTGGTTGCGGACCCTAATCGTTTAACCACATCCCGCAATGGTCGTCGCGCAGCTCTTCAAGGGTAGCCTTGTCTGCTGCATACAGCAAGGCGGATGAGATGAAACATGCTACTGCGGACGTCTCACTTCTTTCTTTTCTACCTGTTTCTCACTTTCCTCCCAATCTTCATTGCTAGCCTTCCTTCTATAATTCCATGCTTAATTGACAGCGGCCGCAATGCCACTGCAGTCACACTATCTGCAGCTTGCTTTCTGCACTACCCACTGGACGCCAACAGCCCCTTATAAGACCACACTGCCCGTTTCCCTGGCGTCGTTCAACGTTCGCACTCTAAGACCAGTAGGTCAACAAGCTTCACTCGCACGCGCGTTGGACACCCTGGATATTTACGTGTGTTGCGTATCCGAAACTAGGACCAACAACCCTCATGGAATTGTTGAATTAACTGCACCCTGCTTGTCCTCTCGCTATAGGCCACGCGCGTCCGGACACACTGATGCAACAATTAATGGTCACGCCGCGGTGGGCATTGTTCTCAGCTCCAAGGCTGAGTCATCATTGGTTGATTAGATTTCCTTAAGCAGCCCTTGTATGATATCAATTAAGATTGATTCACGAGGTGGCACTAGACTGTTTTTGGTTTATAAGTTGGACAACTTATACCATGAACTGAACACGCTGCTTCGCACTGTTATCAGTTCAGATATCGCTGTTTCAGGGGATATGAATGCACAAGTAGGTCGCGTTGACTCTTCAGAAGCTCAGACAGGTGTTAAGTATGAACTTAGCTCCGACTTGACGATTAGTGTCGTGCGTCTCTTGCAACTGTGTGCGGAGCACCGACTGTATTTAAATAGCACCGCTTTTAAGAAAGTGGGTGCCTAATTGCTACTTGACATCCCCCTGTAGCTGACTAGCGATAGGCCCAGCTGGGTCACGTTGCCATAAGTTACAGGTGGCTTGGTTCCATTCTGGAATGCCGCTCGTTCTGTAATACCTGCGTCAACTCTGATCATGCCTTCGTACGCTATCGTTTCTCCATGAACTTTGTCGGGAGACGCACCAAGTGTATCCCTCGATTGCCAACTGTGAAAGTATACCAGCCCTCGGTCAGGCAAGTCCACTAAGATGCACGACGTACCGAACTTTCGCTTCCTTGTACTAATGACACTGAGCTTCCGTGAAATAAGATTTTGATCGCTATGCACGACGCAGGAGCTTCCGCTTGTGGTATCATCAATCGCCACCGCACGAGTCACTGGATATCCGAGAGGTCGATGAGCCTGTTAGAATCCAGAAGAAACCTCCCGGCTGGCTCTGAGCACAATGTGACCAGACGAGCTATTAGGCGCGAACTAAAGTGGAGCCTACGTGCTGACAAGGTAGGCTGGTGGACCAGTCGGGCTCAAGAAATGGAGGAGGCAAGAGCAGTAGGCAATTATCGCAAGCTCATCCAGCTGGTTCGCATCACTGGTCCCAGGAAACCAGGCGTCAGTGAAGCCATCAGAGAGAGCGCGAGTGCCCTGATTCACAATAAGGAGCGCCGTATGGCTCATTGGGCGGAGCACTTTCAAGATCAGTTCAGTTTGCCCCCGGACCTCTTCCTACAGATTGAGCCATGGATGGTTAAGTGTAGGGGCTCCGTCGGGGACTGAGGTTCAAAACGTCCTCACAGCCCTCAATCGTTTTCGTGCTGCTGGCTCGGATTTCCTCGCACCTGCACTATTTAAAGATGGAGGTGAGGTCCTCTGCAAAACACTGACCCTCCTATTCGGACCTAACTCGCTTCCCGAAATAGGCATTTGGTCACGAAAATTCAGTCGATGGTCGATTACAGACGGGTGGGCAAATATAGACCGTTGCTTGTCTACCGTCATCCGTTTTCTTAAAAAGAGTCGTGGAATGTCTTGCAAACCTCGTCAAGGTACTAACGGTGGTTCCATTACCCTCAAGTCGGTTATCTGGATGCGGCAGCTCACATGTCCTCGGAAAAATTAAATCGAGAAGAGCCATGCTGACTTTCACCCAGCGGAGGTTGAATTGACCACGTCTTTACACACTGCCAGCTGCTGGAACATTCACACAGATGACTGCATGACAATTGGTGTGCGCTAGGTCGGCTATATCCCCATCTTTCGCTTCTACTTTGTGCTAGCGATGATCATTACTGACACTATGCTATCTGCTCCCTTTGTAGTGGAAGTTCTACGGGGTGTGCATGCGGACGACAGTTCTCCTTGGGGATTGGCCGCGTCCTTTGCACCAACTGTTCGGTACAATCTGTCATCTGGCTCTACTCATTTCGCCATGTACTGCACACTTTCAAAGTGCATGTTAGTGTTGCAGGACTGGGTGGCGAAAACCACCAGTTCTCGTTGTCACTGACAAACTACACAAAGAAGTGATCCTGATGGCTCTGTCGCCCGTGGTAGTCACATCACAAGAGAGATTGCTGCAGAAACCAGTAGATCTCATGTGGCTCCCTACTACCTTAGTCATCGATGCAGCTGACTGGTAATGAACTTGTCTGCTAATGAAAATGTGCGGAGCGTTGCAATATGGATCACGTTTTATGTCTGCACTGGGTACATGGCTACCACGTGTTGCCGAACTTATGATTCTGGTTATCCTTGAATTCTGCGCTGCACTTCTCATTTCTTTTGTAACCACTGATTTGTTCATTTCCTTTGCTAGCCCACTAGCTGATAGCCCCGGCTTATATTGTTTGGTGGAATCGCCGTACTTGGTTAGGATGAAATCTCAACGTAGCTTTCAATCACTTAGTGAGGTCGAACCCGCTTATTACCTGCCTTATTCTTCAATGGCAGCCTCATAATTATAAAGTAAGTTTTGTAAGTTCGTCACTTGGTGAGGGAGCTACCCTGTCCTCTGCACGGCAGTAACATGTAACTCAGTGGACAGTGAGCGGCGCTATATCACATCTAGTAACTTATTCACAATGGTCGTTGCCGTCCCCCATAGCTCAGTGGTCTCGACCACGTACTGGTAACACTCGAGTTGCGCGTTCAAGCCCTGCCAGGGTCCGATGGAATGCACACTGCTGACGATTCCCGAAAGGATGGAACGCGCGTACAATGCTTTTCCGGGCATGTGTTGGCTGTCGGAGTGAGTCTAGATGTGACGAATTTCTACCTATAAAATAAACAGTTTATTTTTGCAATCATTTGAAACACTAGTAGTTCGGGTTGATGGTTCGGCTATTCATTAGTTCGCCGAGCTTGATTAAGTAGTCGCATATGTTTCGCCGCCATGCGAGATGGCATCTTCAGTGCAGTGATGCGCGATGGGCAATCTCATTGATT